TATAATTATTAATACAAAGATCTAACACTCAGAAAAAATTCCTTCGAACCGGTCGGATTCGATAGGTGGTAGTCCCTGGCAATTCCACATGCTACCTGGGTCAGGGACTCGGGCTCAAGAACCGGCGTACAATACGTGCCGTATCGAGCAGAACCATTTATTATTATTATTAAAAGTCATGTGTCAAATTTTAGGGAAGATCACTGAATGATTTTCTCCCGCCCAAATCCTATGCATGCTCAATGGGATTGAGGTCGGCCGACTGAGCAGGGCATTGTAACAACGTGACACGTACTCCCGGAACATATTCTTTTCTACATCGCAACCTTGCAGTGTGTGACCTTGCATTATCTCTCTCAAATCTTGGCCGCTCTGCATTCGGTGACGGATTACCACGGGTGTCACGATTTCGTCGGAGTATAATTCCGCATTCAAATTGCCTTATATCCAAATGAGATTTTGAGAATTGAGAAAATTCTTCCATCTCGACGAATTCCAGCCCAAATTATCATATCCGCTTTAGTATGAATGTGCGCCCAGTTTCCAACATATCCATAATCCGAGGGCGCGAGCCGCGACGCTCCTAGCTATTATTTAACACGCTTTTAATTTGGGTACATTTATACATTTCAGTGGCCAGTATTTTTTTATAATCTCAGTACAGCGTACTAAAAAAAACCGACCTCAAAAGTACGTGGAATTACGTCTATTTGCTAAGTTTTATTGAAATATCCCCGCCACTATACAGGACTTGACACTGGAGATAATAAAAATCGGTTCTCACTACTCAAAGTATATTGAGAGAAAAACACCTTGAATTGGAGAATTAGCAAGATCAACCATAAAAGTAATTGCTCCTAAATTAAAGTTAGGCGCTATTTATAAAAATGAATTTTCATGCGTGAACAGAACCCTTCGAGGTGGATGATTTTCTTCAAAATGGAATGGGACCACTATGGAAGTACCAACAAAAAAAAAATTTTTGTTTCCAACAAAAAAGAATCATGAAAATCGGTTCACAAATACCGGAGTTATCGCGTAACATACATATAAAAAAAGGAACATACAGTCGAATTGAGAATCTCCTCCTTTTTTAAAGTCGGTTAAAAATAATAAGTAAATATAATTGGCTTGTTTCCTAGATTTTGTTGAATAGTGTGCTTATTATATATCGCACTGTATGCCTTTTATGGCAACATACATACATTATGTTATAACGGTATTGGTAGAGTAAATTTCATAAGCCGGCTATCAGAAATTATGAAATATATTATCTAGGTCAACCTACGGCTAAATCAAAGTAGCTCCGCATGATTCCGGGTAAAATTGTGTTTCGTGCTACATTGTTGAACATTACTTTTGCGACTTGTAAATAAGATAAGTAAATAAGACTCAATTTTTTGACCAAACAATTTCTAAGTACGTTTATTTTCATCACAAACTTATATGACATCATTAATAAAATAACATAAACTTCTATCTAATTAATCAAACAAAAATAAGTGTATTCCTAAGCATATAGCAATTCTTGTTTATATTTATGTAGTTGCTCACTACAGCTAATTCAAATTTAATTTACACTAATATAATTCTTACTGTATGTTTCTACTATTAATTATCACGTGGTTTTGTTACCCTACCAGTGGTACATTTCATATCATTATAACGGTTTGTTCGCACCAAGAAATATTTACACCAACAAATCAAGGGTTTCTATATATGTATTTCAGGAATTATTTTCCGGTAAATTATATACTAATTCTATCATTGGGATAGTTGTTAATTTCAAGTTATAGTGAAATTTATACATAAGTATATAGTGATCAAAATGAATTGATTGTTTGTGAGCAATAGTTTCTTGGAGAGTACAAGCCTGACTATATCCACGCAAGTAAGGTGCTTGTCACATCTTAATCTCATAACTTCTATAAGTACCACCTACAATGTTAGTTCCATTGATACAAGAAATAATATAACATTACAAATTTGTTCTTAAGAAAAAATGTAGAACGAGTCTGGCCTATGACGCGCAATTAAGCTCTTCGTTTGAATTTCCCATTTAATCGCGAATCGAATACATTAGTTTTTAATAAAATTTAGACAGATGTGACAAGCGCCTGCCCTTAAATCACTGAAAACTTTCTTAATTGCACCGGACCTTTTAACATTTACCAAATAGATACCACTAAGATATGACCATTCATAATTAAGAGAAAAAAATACGATTGGCCATATATTTATAGTCATCACAAAGCATTTCAAAAACCTATCCCTTCTTACCTACCTAACAGCTGGTAAAACTTTGGCAACGTATATAATTTCATTCAGCGGAACATATCACCCCAGAAATATATGTATATTATAAGCATAGGCTATTTATCAAAGATGGTATTTAGGTTTATGGTGTGTTCTTATAAAACCTCACTGGATAGTTATCATAGTCTTGCAGTGATTTTGAGGCAAACAACATAAATGTAAAAGCTATTCGATAAGGGATTACATTTACAACAACACGTAGTGGAAAGTGCGTAACAATAGAGTAAAACACATAACATTTTCTCCTGTACTAAATTATCCCTTTCGAATAATTTTAACAAAAGTAAAGTGTTTCTAATAAAATCGCTAGTTACAATTTTTCAAACAATTTTACAGATACCAATGTATAATACTTAATAATACAAGTCGCTCAAAACTTAATGTTTCAGAAACACGTTGAATTTTTCAGTGCTTTGGAACATTTCAGCTTTGAAGGCGCTATAATTATGTTTTTTTTATAACTATTTATAAGCTTGATTCCATTATGTTAATTTATTTGATCTAGGGTACATTAAATATAAAGTAATTCTCTACTGTGATTGTGTATAATAATAATCTGAAAAATTCTAACAAAATACGTAAAAAAATTACCCAATCTTAATTCAACTATAAATAAATTTCGTAATAGATATGTATTTTATCTATATTTCAAGTAATATCAACAAATGTATACGTATATCCGATATAATTTAGATTTTGTAAGCATGATTAAAACAATGTAATATAGTAACAACAGACGTTGAATATTTTGTACAAGCGTCCGAAAAGATGATATTTTTCGTATATGAAAATTTCTAAGGCACTAAACATTAGCCAGAGATATAAATATATATGTATATATGCACATAGAGGGTTGTTGTCTCGATATATATACATCGAGACTACAACCTTTTGTACAATTACAAATGGTATGGGAAGATAATAAAAATTCGAGTATAAATTTTATTTTTGGCTAATATTGTTTAGTGACGTGGATGAAAGCATAATTGCACTTTTTTACACCCTATTTATAAATAGAAATACTAATATATAGAAGGGCGCTCCGATAAATCAATATGTTAAAAAACGGGCAGTCTTTTAAAACTCTTGCCTTTGCAACCCCATTATTACAATGAGTCAACTTCCATCCAGCTATAAGCAATTTACCTATAATAAAATATAAAATAAATAAATTCCATATTATGTCATTGTTATTTCTTTACACAAAAAAACTTATTTGCCAACAGCGAAGATCATGAGTTAAAATAAAACTCTGGTCTATGAAATAATGAAGTAACATCTACTTTACAGCAAGTTAAATGTTTCTCAAACTTGCTGTAAAATACGAATTATAAGAGGTATAACATACCCAATATACTATATTGTCAAACGTAGTAAGTATAAGTAATACTCAACAATTACATAGATCTACCGTCACAAGTAATCACCTGTTGTGAAGTGAGTATACTTTTCCCGTTGTTAAAGTATTTTACAATTATATACGGACAAAAGAACTCAAAACTACTATAAAAGATTTAGTACAGAGTTAAAATTGTAGATCAAATAACGGAGGTTTAATCAAATGATTTACAAATTCCTGATACACTTTTGTACTCTCTATTAGTACTCATTGATTTTGTGAATAAAGAAGATTGAAAATTCATGTCATTTTATATTCGCATTAATGTTCGAAAGTGTATTTTTCTTATAACCAAGAAAAATCGAAACCAATTTTATGCGGATCTGAAAGAAGTCGCAACAAATACAACTTACCGTCCCAATAAATACATTTGGATGAACCATTAAAATTTGTACTTGGAAGTCTTTACTTTTTATTTCGAATTCTAATAAGGTAAGCACTTATCTATTGGTTACAATAATATTTCTAAATAAATTCGAGATTACGATCGTAATTATAACTCATCTAGCTCGGTGAACTTGTACCTATAAAATGGGTGTATGGCATGTGTGCGTGCGTTCGGCCTAGGGTTGTTCGAACGCGGGCTACGCGGGCTGGTAAATTCCCTTGGTCTAATATCGAATCCCAACTCCAAAGGTTGAATGTTTATGTTTGGTTTAACAAAAGCTGTGTATTGGAATCGAGACTGCGCGACTCAAAATGCTCTACAGGTGAGTGATGATGATCTCGTCGTCGATTTCATCCTTTTCATCGTCCTCCTCTGGCGGCTGTTTAGCTGCTTCGGCGGCTATAGCAGGGTCCTCCGCAATCGCCTTTAGCCGTCGAGCCTGAAACATAAGTTTTCGTATATAATAACAGATTTCAGTCATAGTATGTATCCATACATTTGTACTCGTAGCTGAGTGTAGTGGAAACTGATTGCGTCTATAATTCGAAGATTCACACCTTTCGCTTATGTAGTATTTCAACGATGATGTAACCGGCAACACCGACGAGGAGGACGACCATCATGACATAGAGCTTCATCTTGGCGCATAGGTGCGTGGAGTAAGCGTACGCGACTACGAACCCTGCACTCTCCCACAGACGGTAGTTGGAGAAAGCAGCTTCCTTGTTGCGTCGGAACAACACACCATATAGACCTAAAACAAAATCAAATTGATCGTAATTTCGTGTCATGCTCTGTAGCCACACCACTCTACTTTTTTATTATGATTTTACGCACTGTAATATACGGCTGACGTACTTGGTAAAAAAAGAAATACATGTACGTCAGCCGAACTTTACAATGGGTAATCTCATAATTAAAATATAGGGTAGCGTGGCTACAGAGCATGTCAGGTATTTTCTTGTTAGGTTCTCTAGGTCTTCTGTTCCCAAAACCACAGGCCATTTGTGTTAAGGAACATTTTAAAGGCATTTAAAAGTAAAACATTTTGCCCGTCTTTGTATCTATCCATATCAAGTTATAAATGCCATAGCATAAGTCATGTAGTAAATTATGCAAGATTATATCAAATTGTTGGTATTTATGTCATTTCTGAACTTATTCGCTTAGAAAACGAGGAGCTGTGATAAAAACGTGCCGTATCTATACACGTGAGCTAGATACTTAGGTATGTTTAATAGAGTCATTAATGTAATAAAATTATCTGTTACAGGTTGAGTAAGCTAGCTACGTTTAAGAACACAGCTAAGTAGGTACGTCAACAAATAATCTTATGTCCATTATTCAACATCACCAGCCAAAACGGTTTGTACGTACAAGGATTACTATAAAGGTACGTTGTCATTGATAGATTTGTGATAAAAGCCAAATTTACTACATGAAATACTTATGACAGGAATACACTAACTTCATCAATCACTTGCCTAACAAAAACAGTTTCATAAAAATAAACAACTGGCAAGGTCTGTCTTTTGTATATTTTAGTCATCCAAGAAGGTACTCGTATCTACACATAATAGATTATGAAAATCAAATGAAGATACACTCCTGTCCACAACAGTTGCAGTTCCACTCGCGAGCTTTAAATCGCAAAGATTTGAGGGGCATTGCCACTGCGCCTGTCACCCTGAGACATAAGTTGACAAGTCCCATGTGCCTGTAATTTCATCAACATCCTTACCCTTCAAAACCTGAACGCAGTAATGCGCATAATACTGCTTAGCGACAGAAATATGTAAGGTGGCAGTGCTTCCCTGTACTAACTCTTACACAAGGAGCTGTTTTTGTATCACTAATACGATAGGATTAGATGCTTTGCAAATATTGCATAAAATGGTCACGTGAATGACAAGATTCATAGGTCTCTCACAGGTGTCTCTTAAGGCGATAAAAACTCGATTCGATAATTAAATTTTCTTATCTTCTTAGAAGAAACTTACCGTTGACTTGGGTCTGCCAAACAGCGTCACCGACTCCCCACAGGCTCGAGATCACAAAGAAGGTGCTTGGTGAGTCAGGGTTGGGTCTCCAGATGAGCAGCCAGACGATTAGGCCGAGATGTAGACCTGCACCCATGATCAGGATGGGAAACCTCCCGATGTACTTCATAGCAGAACCGAAGACTAGGGAACATATTGCGTTGACAACACCGAAGCATATCATCACGTAGCCGATGGAGCGTATGCCAAGCGCGCAGGATACATATGCCTACAAAATAAAGCATTACTTATTTATTCTATTTATTCTATTTATTTTATTTACGTATGGGACGTGACGTACGGGATATTAAGCCCAATCAAAAAGCAGTTACCGATACTTTTTTACAACAAAACGAAATTTTAAATTTAGCCTCAGCGGAATTACATTTTGCAATAAATAAAGGTACTGATACAAGTTTCACAGTTTGAACGTAAATACGTAGAAGTCAAAGTCAAAGCCTAAGAATTATTTATTCCTTATACACTTGAAAACGTCATATTTAAGCGACTACTCGTTCACTACGCTGACTTCCCTGAGAAGAACGAGCAAGAAACTCTAGGGATTGCTCTTTTCAAATAAACTTAAATGCTATGGAATATGCTTTGAATCAAATTTGTGTGCAATCTAGAGCCTTGTCGTCTTTCCACACATCTTTATCTAACACGTAGTCTTCAATTTTGTAATATGACTTTTCAATCAAAATATTTTTACTGTAGTTTGTAATCTTAAGAAATGGTAATCTAATATATGCTCCGAATCTTATTGTTTAAACGTATACAATTCCCCATAAAAGAGTCGTTTACCTTGGTTAAACGAAATCATGGTACCATGAGTCTAAGGTTAATATTATGGATATCTTCTTTCTTATTGAAATTATGTATATTTTTCTATGTGTATACTTTTAAACTGACTTTAAATAAAACTAGTGACTATGCAAAGAAATATTCCAATTACCTGTGTGTAATCTGCTCCAATGAAAGCCTGTTCCATTCCTATCCAAAGGGTGATGGGAATCAGTAGTTGTTGGTTTGGCTTCTTCAGCTGATAGGCAGTTGCTGAAAGCAACTGGATACCTGACAGCTCCTTAGAAGGATCCGCCTTCCTCTGTTTCTCACCATACCTGTTTATTTATTGATAATAACGTGAAATCAGTGATAAGAGATAAATTAATCGCTCATACATTTTATTAAAATGGGACTGTGTGGGGAAGTCCGAAACCATAGAAAATAGTAGGAAACTGTTTTAGGAACCATTAAGTCCTGTTTTCTAATTTTTGCAATCTTAAAGTATGGGAGATATAGGGAAACTGTATGACATAGTAAATTTTATGGTCAAGCGTAAGTTGTCCATAAAAATGATTAGTGATGATCGACTCAGGTTTATGTAAATTTCATTGAATGGCACAAAAAAAATCGGGATAGCCGAAATTGATCAAATTTCATAAAATGTTTTTAATACAAAATGAATTTTTTTAATGATCATAGACTCAGCTTCTTATAAGGATGATTTCGTTATAAGAATACTCATATAATGAAATCATCCTTACAAGAAGATCTCATACGAGACGAAAAAATCAGGACAGCAGAAGTTGGTCAAATTTAATAAAAAGATTTTTCATACTTTTGTATTTTGTGTTTTTTTTAAAACACTTAATAAAAAATAACAAAACTTTAGATTTTAAGATTTTCGTGGTTATTCATTTAACGATTGTCACCAGTTACAGGTTTCTTATTAAGGCTTGACTTTGTAATAACTTTTTTGACTTTTGAGTTAATCCGTGACGACAGAGCGTGCAACTCTTCCGGAATTATAGGAAAAATTGAGTAAGTCACACTATGGTAAGAAAAATCATTCAAACCCAAAATTAATATGTATACTAAGTAAACAAAGGTATAAAAGCAATCATGAATTATAGGGAACCCTAGTTCTAGTCTTCGATCACACAATATTTAGTTGTAAAATAAATTTTTGTTTCCTTACGTATCCTTACACTATTTACTCAAAGAAGGCTTCGGGCCACGTTAACCTCACAGTATACTATATATAATAGTTAACCTCATAGTATGTTAGTTACGCAGGATAAGTGTTATGAGGTTTACTGATTTTCATTATCGTACACATATGTATAAATCGTATAGAAGTAAATAATAGATTTATATATAACAGTGCTTGTCGCTCTGAAACTGCCTACAGAAGTGCTAATTGCAAATCATATTTATTTTGACCTGATAAAAAGAAATGTAAATAGATATAATTACGAGATATATACATAATTTGTATAAGTATATGGATGTCATAATAAATTAGTTTTGCCTGAAAGTACTATTGATGCTATTGGCAAAGCTACAAAATGTTGAATCGCAGAACTATGGCAGTGTTGGGTAGTGTATACTTTTAGTCATAGTTATATCAGGTGGCACTTCGTTATGTGACAGTTAACTTGCGTATGATATTGACGTAGAGTTTTTAATCAAAGCGCCAAATATTCATTCTGCACAATATTATTAATGCAAAGCTTGCACAAATTCGAAAATATTCATAATTGATTATTTTATTTCATTATGATTTTACAGTAAACTTAATGTTTATTTTTAATTTAATTTTTCAGCCGTTACTATCCCACTGTAGGGCAAAGGTCTCACGATCCTTCCTCCACTTAACGCAATTTAACGCCGCTACAGGTCAAGATCTCATAGAATAATAAGATGAGTATTGTAAATCCTTATAAACATAGTTGCGCGGCTTGTATATTTTCGCGCCAGTCGTGTGCGTCGCTTGCGGTTCATAGCGCTGGTCATCTTTTTTTCTTTTCTTTTTGAGGGGGATATGCTTTATGCATATCCTTGAGCCCGGAGAGGCTCAAGAGTTATGTGGTACTAACCCTCTTGGACAGGTGTTGCGGCCGTCATGGGATCCCGCAGATTCACCAGTACGCCTCCGGCCACTCCTGTTTCCACCAGGTTTGACGCGCTAAAGAGGTGAGGTGAGGTGAAGTACGTGTCGACCCTCCGTTCGGCTCGTACTTGACCCATCCCTCAGACAAGTGAGACCGTCCGTGATCCCCGTCTCCTGTCGCTGGCCTCACTGGGGAATCAGGCGAGCAACGAATTGGGTTTGCCCTGTGCCCCGTCGCCTGCGCCGGAGAGGGTTCGTGTCAACTGCACCTTCGCACAACTGCTCCGCGGCCTCTTTTTACAAGATTACCTCCTCGTAGAAGAAGGATACAGCTTCCGACGATTCCTCGCTGCTTAGCGTGACGGCTACCACGCGGGGCCGCAAGCGTTGGTAGTCGCACACGCCTATCATTATTATATGGATGGTGGACGTATAACAAAAGTATATTTTAATTAATAAATATACTGTATAGTTAAACATCTTTCAAATGTGAATTGTATAAACATTTTCTTTTAGTAGGAAATATGATTCACTGGTGGGTTTGTGATATTTTATATCTTATGTGACCACCCCAGCAGTGATCATTCACTACTCATGTATTGGTATAGCATATTGCAGGTAGAACAGATTCAGATTCAGAAAAATTTACTTAAGTAAGTTAATACCTCGACAGGGGGTCGACGAGGAGTGCTACCATAAGCACAGCAACGACTACGCAAGAGAGGTAGATGGCGCTGATCTCGTAGATCTCACTATCAGGCGGCCGGTGTAGGTTCTGATTATCGTGATGCCCGCCTCCGACCATGCAGAAGTTGGCGCCGCACGAAAGCAGTGTCTTGCTTGTATTCTCCGTTGAAGAAGCATTCGCACTGCTATGTACTCCAGATGAGAACACTATAACACACCAATTATTAATGATTAAATACCGTTTCACTTGTTTCTTTTAAACAACGCCAATTAAATTAGAACTCACCTAAACTTGAGATCAGATTTCCCCAAAGTTCAGCCGTTTGCCAAGCAAGGAAGAAAAACCCGAAGAACCGCACGATGATACCGTCGACGGCCTGATCAGTTAACTTTGCGTAGACACTTCCTGCTTGCGTCAGATACGTAGCTTTGGCGGTCCACATTGGCGCTGCTCCTAAGCCCACTATCACTCCAGCTGGTACCAGCGTGTAGAACGCGGGATAGAATTGCGCACCGATGTACGGCGCATAGCACAACATAGACAGACACAGGGTCCATTTCACCGTTAGCCTCTTAATAAGAAACGTGGGTACGAATATGCAAGATACGACGAGCGCTGCGTATATCGAGCTCAAAGAGACAGTTCCCAGGCCGTCTGCCGCGTTGATTGTAGATTGTAAATTTGCAGTACCCTGGAACGCAGTGAACTGCACCATGAAGGCAGCACTGACGGCCGCCACGTTTTTCAATATTCTCCATTTTTCGTTTCTAGATAGTTTAACTTTTCCCGTGGGATAGGTGTCCTCCTCAGTGGGCAGCGGGGGCGGCTTCACAATATCATCATTCGTGTCGCGATCGTGCTGGTAGCCGTCGTTCTTGAATCCAGTTTTAAATGTGTACACATCTTTGTCCGGACGGTCGTCTTCACGTCCGCCACCGTGTGTAGCAGTCATGCCGTGTTACCTTCGTTTGCCCTGTAAATAAAAACAAGTTGTAATATAAGGACTTTTATATTGTAAGTATAGAATACAACAAGTGTCACGCGAATCTTGACAATATTCCGCTTATACGACGCTTAATTAGGTGTTGTGTGGTATTGACAGTACCTGCAAATTCAGGTGACTATAAAGTCTGACTTTTTTAAGTTTCAACAAACTTTATACAACTTAAATTTGTAAATTATTACAAGAATTTATGTATAATATATTAATGTTTGTTGAAAAGTACCTACAAGTATATGTGTAATTTATTTAAAAATAAGAATGTGATCCTCATATCATAACATAGATTGTACACACAATCTGGTGCCACATGTGTTAAGCATTTAATTTAGAATGTGTAAAGGTTCCAGAAGTAAATGGTTAATATACACAAAAAAGGAAATGGTGCCTCGAAGCGTCAATTGGACGGTTAACCATCACCGCCATTGAGGAAGTTTTTGTAACAATTACATACGATTTGATTCGCGTTCATTGTTACGATGGACAACATCGGCTGAGTACACAGCCCTATTATTGTGCGGGGCGTTTCATAAACTGTTTCGTCATGACATAATCATCATGTTTGTGAAGTATGATACCGCTAACGGTCTAAAATAAACATTAGGCTAAATTTTAGAATTCTATTTTAGTAGGTTCTGTTGCATGCCTACGACTATTATGACTCCGTTTGCGTAATAATTTCATTAGATAGATCAATATACTCATGCATTGATTCAAAATGCATACAAAATATGTATTGATGTGCCATCCTTCCTGGCCATATGGCAAAAAGGACCTGGCCACAGATGGTCTTGATTGTGAATGGGACACTTCCAGAAAAGTCATGTTCTACTATGTTGTATCTCTTTTTACAACCTTATTGTACGTTAAAAAAGGTTAAGGGACTGTTTGTTACTGTGGTCATTTCAAATACAAGTATCATGTAAAAAATGAAGTGCACACCAAGGTTGACACTTTGGAGTGTGGGACCGTTGCTACCGCGAGAGGATTAAATTTGAGTCTTTTGTGACATAGATGTGCTCTTAAACCTGTACCGGCCCATACACTTAATTATGTAACTTATTTTGTTAAAAAGACAAAGACATGTAAACAACGAAAGTAGTACCTACATTGTGATTTTCAAGCCCGAGCTGAAGACGAAGGCTTTAATGGCCTGGACGTTTGTATTTACTGTTCCGTACGTGTGGTTCAATGTTTTTTCATTTCACTTGTGAGTAATAAATAAAATCAAAACGTCATTTTGGGGTCGCAGTAGTGTTCCTAGTGCACACTCGGTGGGAGAGTAGAAATTTAAAAAAAAAAGCCATTGCCGCCCTAATCCGCATGATAAAAATACCGCCTTATTTTGTTGCACGTTATATGATTACTTACGTGCAAGAATTATGAAAATTTATTGACAATGCATACAATTCTTATTACAATACGTTAATATTGATAACTGTCGCAAGCGTTTTACACAATATGTCCATAATTCAGAGTGAGTAATATGTAAATTTTGCGTACCCTGAGTTCCTGAATCATTATTACAGGAGCTTGTAAGACTTAGAAGCTTGAGTAAAAAATACTAATAGCTTCTATAAAGTACTACTGAATTTAGACATTTTGTGCGTATGATTGCTGCATTGTGATTTATTTTCGGGTAATTTTTATATATGATTTGAATTTTAGCTTATTTTTGGTTCGAAAATTCAGGTCAATCGATGATTACACGAAACAATTGAAATTATAATATTGTTCATAGCTGTTTTTTGTATACATAGGTAAATATGCATTTAGTTAGGCTACCCCGGTAAAGGGATACTTACTGCTCTTCCACCGCGCTCACTTTCATTAATATATAGGTCAGCGCCAGCGATTGCTGTTTGTAGTTTAGTAGCAGTAGAGCTCCTTGTGAAAGATTACGTCCAGGATGGTCCGGCTCCTTACCTATTTCTGCCGCCGAGCAGTAATGTTAGCATTACTGAGTTTCGGTTTTGACGGGTAAGGGTGCTGGTGAAATTACAGGCACATGGGACTTGTCAATTTATGCCCCAGAGTGACTGGCGCAGCGGCAGTGCCCCTCGGATCTTTGCGATTTAAAGCTCTGAGTGGCACTGCAACTGTTATGGACTGGCGTGTAACCGACGCACTACGTGTTCGTCCCGTCACTTGATATTATATGTAAAAAAAAAAGTTTCTAATTACTATACACATTGGATAAATCTATTATATCACACCAATCTATTATTATGTAATTTATTTAAATCCAATATCCTTCCAAAATATATATATATATAAATATGTAAGAGATTGTTCTAGACCTATAAATGTTGTAATAATAATAGCTACGCCTCTTCCATTTAAAAACTCATTTTATTATTTAATCTTTTAGGTCTTGAGAGAGGCGAAAGTCTAAAATAGATAGTAAGAATAAAATAGTTTATTTATCTCAACACATTAATAAAAAAAAATTATAAAAATAGTGTTTAGTAGTTTAGATAAAAAGGTATGTAGTTCAGCACAATGGCGGAGTGTTTCTTGTAAAATCTCGCCGCTGATATTCTGTTATAGCCTGGCATGTTCATAAAAAGAAAAAGAACTAACACAGATTATCATTGTAGTTCTAAGATTTCAAGCCGATTATTAAATATCACACACACAAATTATGAATCATTATGTAAGAGTGAAGTTGTTTTTTCCACTTGGTGCTGAATGAGTCTTTCATGAATATTGTTGATTTATTCGGTATTTTAGTCATGCTTTAATGACTACAAATATGTATTTGTTTCAATAATACATATGTATTACTTTTATAACATATATTTGCAAACGGAAAAATACATGTAAATATAATGTGTAGGTATATAGGTACCCAAGTAAAAATTAAAAATATAGAACAGTGAAATGATTGAATAGGGAGAGGCATGAATAATGGGGTTAACGTTTTACAGTATTCATATAAATGTTTATAAATAAAATACGATTGCGTAAGTAAAAACAAAATAGCAGCACCTTTTTCAGGTAACGCGTTTTTAACAATTTGCCTGTATGGATCAAATTGTAATCGTAGTGTCACCCAGCAGCCGCGCGTGCACTGCCGCTCTATCCGGCCGTGATAGTATTGCTCGGCATTCGAGTAATTATATTCCATAGGTGTCGCCGGCCAAATAAGATACGTTCAATGCGCTATTGTGTAATTTTACCAGTCACTGAAGTTAGGTACTCTTATAACAGATAGTAATTTGTAACAGACCCACCTATCAACTACACAAGTTGTAGAGACGCTTTTGTTATGACATGTCGGTGTTTCAAGTTATCTACACGGGTTTTTCATTATACTTCAAGACGATTAGCAATAATGTACATTTTTTGTTGATAAGCAAAATATTTACTACCGTTATACATATCTATGTCAAGACAGTACCTACCTAACTATATAGTGTGTCTAAGGTGCGCAAAATACATTGATAGAATTTGCAGGCATTTGCCGAAGCGCTGTAATTCGTTCTTTTTATTTGATGTAAAGTATTATAATAAAAGGAAACACTTGAGACATTCTTCTTTCAATTTCTACACATTTACAAAAGCCCAAAACAATAAGAGACTTGATAACATTTAAATTAATATTTACTTTTTAACACGTAAACCACAAATGTTCCAATTAGTTTCATTCTTTAAAATAATAAACACATGTGTATGTTTCCCCATATTGTATATTTCATATAAATAAAGACTGAAGAACAAAATAATTACAACTATTAGTTGGCATAAATGCAATGATTGTGGTGTCAGCGCGTTATACTCACACTCTCTTACACCTTCACATTATATAAGTGAATTATATTTTAATTCCCAGAGTAAAACCAACTACCGACCACTAAGTTTGTCATTATCCTATTATATGGCGAACTAGCCAGTCCTGTGGCCAATAATGAATTATAAACAAGTGAATTTGAACGTGACATAAAACTTAAAGTGAAAAGAAAGTAATATATTTAATTAAGAATAAAACTTTTTCGACAACTTTAAATAAAAGAAGATAGCAAATGAAAAAAGTGGATTTAAAAATTAAGAAAACAACACATGAATATAAAGAATATCTACAAATCAGACATTTGTAAAATACTAACAACCTTGGATGATTACTACTAACATCATGAACAACAACTTTTGTTTCATGATTTTCAGTAATTCTTCACATTTTACTGGCATACAAAAATAAATATATTTAATTAAATCGCACTAAACAGTAATAACTCTGATGATGATGCGTGACGGGATGGGAGTTGTCGCCGAAGGCGCTTGCACGTTTCAACTTACAACCAAACTACTAAATACAGATAAAAAAAGTGTCAGATAGTACAACAAAAACTTTAAAGTTTATCTTTCGTAAATTTATTATTTTGTAAAAAGTCATGGAACAAAAGTGTTGTCTGTGATGTTTGAATATAGTCCTGCGAGGTTGATAGTATTTTACAAATGACCCTGTACAAATATGGAGGAAATGCTGCCGTAACCAATGCGTAGATTTACAACAAAGAAAGACGAAAAGATGTGTGAGTTGGGGGAGTCGTTGAAGATGGAGCAGGCCAGGTCTAAATTTATACAAAGACAAGGAGTTAATTTACACGAATTTTGATCCTAAGCTGAAAATAATCTCAATCTTTTTGTCAACAAGTAGATAGTACACTTAGGTACGTTGCCCATAAAGTTCAAATATTGTGTTATGAGAAATGATTTTAAATTTTTTTTTCATTAAATTATGTACAATTAAAAAGTCTTACCTAACCTCACCTAATTCTTCTTTTTGCTCCGCTGCAGTCGGGTAAAAAGGAACATACAATATTAATTAGATTTTGCTCCTGGCCTGATCATCTAGTAGCCATTTTAAATTATTACGGGTTGATATGTTACCCGAACTCGAATTTTTTTCCGAAATAACAATGCAGTCGAATTTAAAACCTCCTGCTTTTTTAGTCGGTTAAAAAAGATGA